GTTCCTGATCAGCACCACTATTATCGAATCCCGTGACAACCGGGGATTCTTCCAGAACTTGCTCAACTAGAATCGGTTCACTCTCGGATTCTACACGAAATGATAACATATGCTTTAACATGATGATAATGTAAACATGATGCTTTCACGGTACATGAAATGTAAAAACACCTCGAAAACCTTTTTCCTTCACGGTACAGTTGCAAGCCAACAAAACCAACTTGCAATTCTACCGGCAAGAACCACACATGTGACTTGACCAAACTGATCTTGAAACCCTACTGGTCACACAACATGACCCAAACAAAAAATTAAACCCTAACCCTAACAATTAGGGTTGCTTTTATTAAATTTTTAATTAATTTGAAATAAGCCCAAAAATAAACTTGTTCCAAATGACCTCAAAATTTTATGTAAGCTTCCTCATAACAAATTAGTGTACCAAAATAAATTTCATAATTTTTGGAGCTACACAGTGACCTACAAAAATTATGGAAATTGCATTTATCAATTAATTGACTAAATTTTTGAACATTAAAAATTTATTCAAATTTCAAGTTTCAAAATTTTAAACCATAATAGAGCATGTACAGAAGCTACACAAAATTTTTCAGAATTTTTGGAGCTGTAATTAATTTCTTATAAATTTTCAAAGTTACTGCACTATTCATATTTCAGAAAATAACAAATCTCACTATTCTCTCTCTCTCTCACTGACAGCCGGGCCCCACTCGTCAGGACACAGAGACAGAACACGGCGGCGCTGCCATCACCGGTCAGCCAAAACGCGTCAACGGTGATGCTCCGACGAGGCAGACCGCACCTACATGACCTACTCTAACCCACGAATCCATCCCAACCTTCAGAAAGGCAGCAAGTGCACCGGAGAGAGCTCCACGCCGGTCATGGCGGTGCGGGCACGACGGCGCACGACGTAACTACGGTTACGATGCAATAGAGGCAAAAGCGAAGCGAACATCACGCTCAGGAGCTCACCACGATCACGTCGGTGTGCTTGGTGAAGGCGGAGACGGTCTAGAACGACCTGGCTATGTCGAGTCGATGGTGGCAGAGCTCCGGCCGGGCTCGGGGAAGAACGTGTTGCGCCGGGCGATTCCGGCCAACACCAGCGACGCGAGCAAGTCGAAGATGAGCGCAAGGTCGAGGCGATCGCTTTGGTGTAGCTGGGCACGACTGACGCGGTTTGACGGTGGCTACGACGAGTGGCGGAGCTGCGCGGTGACGGAGCAGGGCAGAGGAGAAAAACAGAGGACGACGGCGGCGGCTGCTGCTATTTATAGCCGGGAAGTGGTTGCCCGGCGTCGACAGCGCACGCCCGAGCTCGCCACGGCACCGGTTGCGTGTCATCACATGAGGAAGCGGCGCAAAACGCTCGGCGGCGACATCCGCGTGGCGCCGGCGGTAAGCAGAGAGGTGGCGTTCGGCTGGATTTTGATTTTTGCATTATTTACAGAATTGCCACTGCGTTTAATTTGCAAATTACTCACAAATTTTCTAAAGAAGTTGAAAATCTCCAAAAATGAAAGTTGCTCAACTTTTCAAACTCTACAACTTTGCTTCAAGGAACATTTTCAAATTCTGCCTCCATTTTGAAATTTGAATTTGGGGTGCATTTGAGTATTTGAATCATTTCAAAATTACTCCAAATTTTATATGTAAACTTGAAAAACTTTGAATACCAAAATTGATCCACATAAAATAATCTCCAATTTTGCTTTTTGCCTCAACCCCAAATTCCACATGGATTTTGAATTAGTCAAAAGGGACAAAAAAGGACTTTTATAATTTGAATTTGAATTCAAATTTGATTTGTCTTTCTTTTACTTTAACTTTGATTTTTGACCAGTAACATGGCCCATTAGGGTTATTTGAGTCAAATGACACATGGCCTCACATGATCACATCAAATTTGACCCTTGTGGTCATGATCTTTATTTAGGGTTTTGAAACACATCACATGAAATAACAACATTATGAAATAAAGCTTATTTAGTGAATGCATTCAAAATTTTCTACTCCATGAATGCTTTGTAATGCATATGATGACATGTCAAATTTTAGTGCTAGGTCAAAACACCAGAGGTGTTACAACTAGCTACACTAAAGTGCTTGACAACTAGTTTGCGGTAATGTAAAGAAAGTTAGTGTGCTCTCAAAAGCTAACTAAAGAGCCACACGAACCAAACTAATAAGCTCTGACAACTAGCTACACTAAAGTGCTTCACAACTAGTTTGCGGTAATGTAAAGAGAGTGAGTAAGAAGGTTATACCGTCGTGTTGAGAAAGGAGCCAATCAATCACAAGAATGAATAACAATGAAGACCAATCACCTCGGAATCAAATAATGACACAATAATTTTTTACCGAGGTTCACTTGCTCGCTGGCAAGCTAGTCCTCGTTGTGGCGATTCACTCACTTGGAGGTTCACGCGCTAATTGGCATCGCACGCCAAACCCTCAATAGGGTGCCGCACAACCATCACAAGATAAGGATCACACAAGCCATGAGCAATCCACTAGAGTACCTTTTGGCTCTTCGCCGGGGAAAGGTCAAGAACCCCTCACAATCACCACGATCGAAGCCGGAGACAATCACTAACCTCCGCTCGACGATCCTCGCTGCTCCAAGCCGTCTAGATGGCGGCAACCACCAAAAGTAACAAGCGAATCCCGCAGCAAAACACAACCACCAAGTGTCTCTAGATGCAAACACTCAAGCAATGCACTTGGATTCACTCTCAATCTCACAAAAATGATGAATCAATGATGGAGATGAGTGGGAGGGCTTTGGCTAAGCTCATAAGGTTGCTATGTCAATGCAAATGGCCAAGAGAGTGAGCTTGAGCCAGCCATGGGGCTTAAATAGAAGCCCCCATGAAATAGAGCCGTTGGGCTCCTCACTGCATAGAACACGGGCCGACCGGACGCACCGGTCAGATTGACCGGACGTTGGACCTCAGCGTCCGGTCGCGCGATGCACGCCACGTGTCCCCTCTTTTCAAATACTGAGCGCCTGATCCTAACGGTCAAGTGATGATCAGACGCGCTGCTACGAAGTGACCGGACGCTGGACCTCGGCGTCCAGTCGTTTCCAGTAAGCATCCAGAAGCGAGAAATCACGACCGGACGCGTCCGGTCATGCTCGACCGGACTCACCCAGCGTCCGATCACTCGGCGTCTCCCCTGTGCGCTGCCACGTCAGCAGGATCGGACGCAACCCTCCAGCGTCCGGTCACTAAGTGACCCAGCGTCCGGTCAGAGACCGACGCCAGCGTCTTTGCAACTTCTACTGACCGGACGTGCCGGTCCAACCGAGGCCAGCGTCCGGTCACTTACAGTGACCTTCGTCTTTTCTGTATAGGGCGCGGTGGCACCGTCGGACTGTCCGCACTCAACGGGCGGACACTCCGCCGGTGAAGTTTCTAACCCTTGCTCAAATGTGCCAATCGCCAAGTGTATCACCTTGTGCACATGTGTTAGCATATTTTCACAAATATTTTCAATGGTGTTAGCACTCCACTAGATCCTAAATGCATATGCAACGAGTTAGAGCATCTAGTGGCACTTTGATAACCGTATTTCTATACGAGTTTCACCCCTCTTAATAGTACGGCTATCGATCCTAAATGTGATCATACTCACTAAGTGTCTCGATCACCAAAACAAAATGGCTCCTATCATTTATACATTTGCCTTGAGCCTTTCGTTTTTCTCTTTCTTCTTTTCAAGTCCAAGCACTTAGATCATCACCATGGCATCACCATCATCATGTCATGATCTTCATTTGCTTCACCACTTGGAATGTGCTACCTATCTCATGATCATTTTGATAAACTAGGTTAGCACTTAGGGTTTCATTAATTCACCAAAACCAAACTAGAGCTTTCACTCGGGCACGGTGTTCATTAAGTAGGAGAAGATAGTTTACTCGAAATTACAAATAAACGTCTACCAAAGCACAACGGCCCGCAGACCCCACTTATGGTTGCCTCTGGACATTTCCTTGCCGATTTAGGAGATAGAGGCATTGCACTTCTCATGCACAATTAACCTTACGCAAGTGTGGTAAGCCAAAAAAAAGTATGGCTACAAAATTAGAAGCCACAGTTTGTCAAGCCTAAAAAAAATCTTGCCACAGTTTTTCTCTATGACATGTGAAGCTCAAAAGAATTTTGCCTAAGTTTAATAATCAACTAAACCTTTGCCAATTTAGTCAAACTTGAGTACTTGACTGAAGTTAAGTGTGGCTAGCAAACATCGCACACCCACCCACGCAGAGGCACACACTAGACAGACGCATGCAATCACTTGGTCGAGACATCCCATGGGTTTCTGCAACACGGCTACCACTTACCATTCCGTAATATTACATATATGTTTGTTGGATTTAATATTGTGGTACACTTAGAGGACTAATAAGTAATGCTAGTGGAAATAACACAATTGATCGACTCCCTTGGCACTATAGCATCATTAGGGCATCATAGGTTCTATGGACATTAATTGTACTGCCACCTAAACGTTTTACTGATATGGCAAGGGAGTTATTGAAGAGAGAGCAAAAATCATAGAAATTGGGTCTAAGTTAGAAAAACCATGTCTACACGAGAACCAAGACATGAAACGATGTGATTGGTAGAAAATAGAGAGAGAATGTATGTGATTAGATAAAAAATTATTCTATAGAAACTATTTATTAGGACCATGATTTCTATATGTAGTGTCTATACAAATTAATAGGTATAGAAACCACATGTAGTTTCTAGCATTGGGACTGCCCTTATTAACAAACTAATACTTGAGACATGCAGATCAAGGAAGCAACATGATTAATTCTAGTATTTAATATTTCGTCCATCCTTACAATGTTCAAACCATGGAGGACAGCAAAAGAAACCAGCAGCAAATTCATGGATCCCCAAGAGTGTTCCTACCACAAACCCCACAATCCCTTCTTGATTTAGGAGGGACTATGCACTTTATGCATCCGCACTTGGCCCCTCATCTGTAGATGCTGTTACCAGTGCTGCAGAAACACAAACACACACAAAATAAAAACGACATCAGCAGATTGAAACACGGATTTGCCATCAATGAAACATTTGTTTATTCATAACCACAAGGCCCCACAAGTTCCTGCTAATGGTTATCCAAACTAACACTTGCATAGTAAAGTCAATAAGATAAGGTAGGCTCAAAGTCTGGAGAAACACCTCTCTTTGTTGAGCATATATTATCCACATTCTTTATTTGATGTTAAAAACTGCTAACTCATAACAAAGGAACATATTTTATACGGTTAAAGGATGGACATGACAGTAATATCGATCCGGAGGGTAAAATCTCATGTAGGTAATGAGTTGATGACTTATTTGGTCTTTATCTGCTAGATAAGTACAAACCTTGGCCAAAATATTATCAATCATCAAAGCCCCCATATCCATCGATCAACAACATGTATACCAGGTGTCCTAGTTTGACACGAGATCGTGATAAACTTATTGTTCTTGCCACACACAACATTGTTCATAAATTCCTGTCACTAACTGAAATCCTACTTCATTCTGATCGTTCTGGCAAGTGAAGAATTAAGCAATTTGCTGCCACGTACCTGGAGTGTAGAAGCGCACATAGGGAACAATACAGTTATCACGGTAGAAGTCACCGCCGTCTACAAGCTTGTAGATCCTGCCAGACTTTTGATCAACGGAGATTAAGCCATCAATCGTTGCCAGCAAAATTATGCCAGCGTCATCCGCAAATCCAAGCATAACAATGGAGGGGGGCAGCCTGCTGAGGTCAATTGTTCTGCCTTGTGCAAATCCCATTGCCAGGGCACCGCCGTTGGGCCTAAGCACCACTGACCAGAGGTGGAGTCTGTCGCCCGCCACTCCTGCGAATCCCAGACCTCCGTCCTCCGTGGTCGTGAGCACCATGGGCATCCATCGAATATACGAATAGGACGCCGGAGGCAGCCGAATCACAGATATGTCTCCCGTGGCCAGGTCGTACTTGAGGATGCTGGTCCTGTCCTGGAGCAAGAAGTAGAGCGTGTTCCCGACGAGGGCACCGCGCACCCTGGCGATACGGCCACCATCATCACCAGGGTCCGGGTGTTGCGCTGCGCAGGCCACCTCGCTCCACGCCGCAAGCCCGAACGAGGAGTAGACGCAAGCGAAGGTCCCCTCGGGGTCCGTGCCCACCAGGACGACGCGGAAGGGCACGTCGGCGTGGTCCTGGAGGCCGTGATGGTCGCAGCAGAGCAGCGCGGCATTCCAGCTGCGCGGGCGCCGAGGCAGGATGGGGACGGGCAGCTCCAGGTGGCCGGCGGCGGCGGCAGAGAACGGATCCCAGACGGCGAGGCGGATCCCCATAGGAACCGCGTCGTCGCGGTGGAGGAGGACGCGGCCGCCGCGCGCGTCGATCGCGTGCCAGCCGCGCTGGGTGTTGAGGGGCGGGCAGGACGCGGAGGTGCGGACCAAGCGGGAAGAGCGGGCGGGGCGGGCGATGCAGTTGCCGTCGACCTCGCACACGTTGCGGAAGAAGCCCAGCATCGGGGCAGCCCGGCGCCGGAGGTGAAAGTCGCGGAAGCGGCGGCGGAAGGCGCGGACCGAGACGAGGCGGGACCAGCGCGGCGCGGACGAGGCACGCGGGATCATCCGGCGGGGAGCGGATGAGGACCTCTTCCACGAGCTCGTCCGGCAGCGCCGGCGGAGCGCGCAGCATTGGCGGCGGCGGCGGCGGCTCTTCCTATCGAATGTTCGGAAGAGAAGCCGTGCGCCCGTGCTTACTAGTCCGTACATGCAGTGCTGTGGCATGGAAAAAAGAAATAACAAAACAAGTTCTGAAGGAAAGGAAAAGACAACGGAGGCTCTAGAAGCTCCGTGTCCAGGCGTCCACTCGATCACCTCTTTCACGCACAGTCACAGCAACCCTACCGTCCACACATTCATGAGTCCGTACCAAAGCTCCTCCCTGGTTCATAAAAAAAAGGTTATTTGATGGGTACTGTTACAATTCTCAAAACATGTACCATTAAAATTCACCTATTTTAAAATTTATCATTATAATTCAATATTTCAATAAGTTTTGCCATTTTATACATCTTCCAACTGTTTAGACCCACTGGCAGGCGTATGCGTACTGTTCGCTTTTCTGTATGGACGTATTTGCCCCCGTCCCGAATTTGAAAGAGCCCTGCGCCCGTGGCCCCATCTCTCAATCTGTTCTTCCTCCTCACGCTTACTTTGTCTCTCACTCTCTTGTCCTCTTGAAGCGGCGACGGCGGCGGAACCCTAACCCTAGCCGCCGACGTCCTAGAGCCCACGCCCGCGCTCGAGTCAACTGCCGCCGCCGCCCAACTCCACTACCGCCCGCGCCCGAGCTGTCCTCTCGGATCCCGGACGATTGGAGCCTCTCCAGCTACCTCACGATGGTGTTCCATTGAGCGCAATGGCTGACCCCGCGGACATGGAGCACGGCGAGGAGAGGTATGGATCTCCAAGCTTCAATCTCTTGAGTCTGAGTAGCGATGCGAGTAGGTCGAGGAATTGCGCTGACCCTAATGTATTTTTTTGTGACTTGTTTGTTTGCTGCTAGGGTTCGGTTGTTCTCCTTAGAGATTAAAGTTGAAGGTTTGTGTACTACAGACAGTAATGGTAGGAAAGCTTACATGAAGGGTAGTGTGATTAAATGGGATGTGGAGGTAGGATCGTTCACTTTTGAGTTGCTGATGCAAAGCTTGACCAATCAGTTCAAATGGTCCCCTACCCAGAGTCCTTGTGTGTGGTTCTTTGACAAAAAGATGTGTGAAGACGTCAGACTAGTTAATGACTTCCAGCTGAATGATGTGTTTGAAATGTATAAGGATCAGATGCATTGCCAAGTTGTTGTAGGAGTTTTTGAAAAAAAAGTTGCAGATGTTGATGAGTTTGCTACCCTAGAGCCTCTTTGTGTGATTCCTCCTGTTGAGCATGAGAATCCTATTTCAGATCCCAATAGGCATGAGAATCATATTCCAGATCCTGCTGAGCAGCCTAATCCTCCTATTAGCCCTGCTACCAAGCCTACTGCTGAGCCAGATGAAGGACTAGAGTATTCTTTAGAGCCTGAACTAGAGCCTGACAGGGAGCCAGACATGTTTGATAATGAGGAGGAGTATGTGGGTGTCGATGATGAGGGAATGTACATGCCAGTACCTCCTCATCAGTACACTAACAATGCATAGGCTGCTAACAGTTCTCCACCCACAACCATGTGCTAATGCTGATGCAAATGATTCTGGTGCTGTTGAAGGAGGTGTTCCTCTTGAGGCAGAGATTGATGATGTAGATCCACGAGAGGTCCATGTGATTCATAATCCAGAAAACCCCAAGATTATGAAAGAAGGGCTCTTTCCTGATATTGTTGCATTTAGGAAGGCAATTAGGCATCATGTAGTGAAGACAGGCTTTGAGTTTGCTGATCTGCAAACTGACCAGACTAGATTTATTACCAAGTGTAAAGCAGAGGGATGTCCTTGGCGTATACATGCTTCTAGAAATTCTTATAGCAAGACAATAGAGGTAAATTTGTCATTACTGTTGGAGTTGTTTGTTTATTAAATTTGTTATTTATGCAACTAATGTCATATTGCATTTGTTTGTGTAGATCAATTGATCAAAAGGCTACCTTTTGAACACAACTATCCTACCACAAAACTCAGAGAAGGGAAGATGGCCACCCAAGGTTGGTGTGCAGATAGGTTGGCAGACTGGCTGAAGAAGAATCCAACCAAAGGTGCAACTAACTGCAGGGACAAATTGGAGGGTGACTATGGCATTAAGTTGAAATACTCCAAGGCATGGTCAGGTATGAAGGTAGCTTTAGAGCAGATCCATGGTAAATATAAGGAGAGTTTCAGTTGCTTTTTAATTGGGCTGCTCAAATTGAGAAAGTATCCCCTGGTAGCTTAGTAGAGATAGAGTTAGAGAAGATTGGCACCAAAAACAGATTCAAGAGGATGTTTGTTGCTCTTAGACCATGTGTGGATAGATTCTTATCTAGTTGCAGACCTTTTATTAGGGTAGATGCTTCCTGTTTGCATGGTAAATATAGGGGTCAGTTAGCTTCAGCTATTGGTGTGGATGGACACAATTGGTTGTACCATATAGCTTATGCAATTTTTGAGTCAGAAACTGAAGATAATTGGAAATGGTTCCTGCAGCAGCTGCATAAGGTTGTAGGAGATGTTCCAAATCTGGTTATATGTACAGATGCATGTAAAGGACTAGAGGCTACAGTGGGGTCTATCTTCCCACAAGCTAAAAACAGGGAGTGCATGAGGCATTTGTATCAGAATTTTTCGAAGAAGTATTCTAGTGAGGTGTTCACTGATCACTTGTACCCTGCAGCTAGAAGCTACACACAAGGGCTGTTTCAGTGGCACATGAAGAAAATTTTTGAGTTTGCACCTGAATCCATTGAGTACCTTGAGGAGCACCACAACAGGATCTGGTACAGGTGTGTATTTTTAAAAAACAACAAGTGTGACTACTTGACAAATAATGTTTCAGAGAGCTTCAATGCACAAATAAAGAAGTTCAAAGGTCTGCAAATGCATGAATTAGTTGACAGAATCAGAGAGCTGATCATGGAGAAGAGATACACTAGGAAGATGCTTGCTAGGCAGTGGACAGATGGAATACTCCCAAATGTGATGAAGGAGCTCAACTTGATCAGCAATAACCTCAAAGTGGTCAAGGTATCAGTTAGTGATGTTGATATTGCAGAAGTGACCATCTTGGATGAGTGGAACAATCAGAAAAGACAAACAGTTGTCTTGCAGAACCATAAATGCTCCTGTAGGGAGTGGCAGTTGACAGGGAAGGCCTGCAAACATGCTTTGGCATAGATCATATCCAATAGAGGGGTGAAAATTGAAGATTTTGTCCATGAGTATTACTCAGTGGCTAGGTTCAAGGCAACCTATGAGGACATAATTGAACCTATCCCAGATATGTCACAATGGCCTATTGTGGAACTTGGATTCAAAGTGTATCCACCGTTGCTAGGCAGAGGAGCAGGAAGACCAAAGGTTCAAAGGCAAAGAGGTTGCTTGGAGAAAAGGGCATCTAAAAAGAAGGTCAAATGTAGAAGATGTGGAGATTTTGGCCACTTTTCAAAAACTTGCAAACTGGTAGAGATTGGAGAAGATGGTGAGAGAGCTCCACCAAGGAACAAGGCTAACAAAAGGTATGTTTATGTGCACTAAATCTGTCTCATTGTTTTTCACTTCACAATATGTTATGTCACCTTTAAAATGTAGGAAAGAAGCTCCAATAGATGTAGCTAGTCCCTCCCAAGCCAAGAAACAAAAAGTTCAGAAGAAGAAGAAGGGCACACCAAAGAAGAAGAAGACACCCATCAAGAAGAAGCTCAAGAAGGCTACAGCTGACCCACCTACTACTGTTGTTAGTAGCCTTAGGAGGCTAGTCTATGAAGACTAGAGCTTGTCAGCAGCTTATGATATGTTTTTGTAATAAAAAGAGAACTTGTATGCTACTAGTGGTATGCTTTTGTAAGATCAGCAATTGAACCTTGTTGTTTGTGTAACATTGTAGTTGGATTCCTGGAACCTTGTAGTTAGAATGCTGAAACCTTGTATGGTTGTGAACCTGGTATGTTGTTATGTTGATTTAAGTGGTTGTGAACCTGATATGCTGGTACGCTATGCTCAGTTCTGTATAAGTGGTGGCCAATATGGCATGCTCAGTTCTGTATAAGTGGTGGCCAATATGGCATGCTCAGTTCTGTATATGCTGATTCTAAATTCTAGAAAGAAAAGAAGATATCTAGTATTCAGAACACAAGATGTCAATTGATTCAACAGAACACATTTCATTTCAATTCAATTTCAGGATAACATACATACACATAGTCACATATTAGCTAACTCACACTTACATTAGCTGACTAACACACATTCTAGCTGTTCACTTCCACATAACAGCAACAACAAATGCACCAATTAGGACACCTACAAAGCTAAAAAAACTGGCGATACAACTGAACAATCAAGCACAATATGACATTTCTTCGTGTCCAGCTCAGGCTTCCGCTCAGCAGGTTGGACCTTTAGTTTCCACAGATCAGCTACAACACTATCCACAGTTTGCTTCAACTCTTGCAATTCTTCCTTCAACTCGGCATAACAGTCAGTTGATGTCTCCTTACCAGTCTGCAACCAGCGTTCCTATGCTTCCAAGGCCTCAATCTGCAACTCAGACCAGATGATGCCGCAGGTAGTATGATCACCCTGCACACAAAAACGCATCAATCAGAGTAGCATCAAGAGACACAGTGAGGTCAACAATGTCAAGAATCCTAACCTTAATGTTGTACGGGCACTTGAGAAACCACTGATCCTTTGTCGCCGGCTGCTTGCTTTGGATCCGGACCAAAGGAACATGGCAATAAGGGCACTCCCTTCTGCCGCTGGCCGTCGCGCTCGAGCCCGTCGAAGGTACCTTCATCGGGCTTCCAGTCCACAGCCCGGCCATGGCTTCAAAAGCTC